CTCTCATACAAAATGCTCAGGGAAGCATGATTCAAAATAGCCTCAAAGAAGAAACATCCCAAACATCTAGCGGTTCATGAAAAGATAAACGAAATGTGGTCTATCCATGTAGTGGAATATTTTTCAATAACAGAATGGAATAAATACAGATGCAGACTCTAACATAAAGGAAACTTGAAAACTAAGTGAAAGGAGCTAGTTCAAATAGGTCACATACTGCATGATTCCATTTACATAAACTATTCAGAATAAGCAAATCTACAGAGTCAAAGAGTAAATTAGTGGGTTAGAGGAGGGAACAGAGTGACAATGTTCTGTGCATGATAAACCATGTTCTAAAATTAGAACACTCCTTCAGAATACAAGGAGAAGCTGCTATATCAAGTCTTCCTCCCAGATCCCCAAAGTGACAAAAACTTAACCTTGTATGTCACCAAAGTATAATTTCAAGCATAATGCAGCCATAGAAAACTACCTCCTGCTGCCAACCACTAATCGAAATCTATATATCACCAAGCAACGCCCAAGTATTTTCAAAGAAATGTTGCTCCCAAAACAGTTCTTGCTTTTACTGTGATAGGATGGGTGAAGGGGCTTCAAATGGTACAAATGCAAACTTCTAGTTATATGACTAACCATTTCTAGGGATGGAAGGCACAGCATAGTGACTACAGTTAACAATACTGTGTCATGCGATTTGACAGATGCTACGAAAGCAAATCTTTAAAACATAAAAAATATTGCAATTTTGTGAGGTGATGGATGTTAACTAGACTTAGCGAGGTCATCATTTCATGATATATCTATTTCAGCTCACTGTGTTGTACACTTTAAACTAATACAGTACTATATGTCAATTATATCTTAATATAACTGGGGAATAAACAAAGCAAAAATAAAAAGAGAGAGAAAACGCATGAGAGCAAAATCCAGCGAGGGAATCAGAGCGATCACACACATGACAAGGCAGTCACGGCAGCCCCTTTCTTCAAAGACGTTGGGGTGTCCTTGCCACATACCTGGTGAAGACCCCAGCAGCTAGTCCAAAAGTGGTGTCATTAGCTCGTTCCAGAACCTCGGCTTCTGTGTCGAATGATAAAATGGACATAACTGGTCCAAAGATCTCCTCTTTTACACAGGTCATGTCATCTCTGCAATTAGCTGCAAACATCATAACACCAAACATCAGGGATCGGTATTCCAGGCACTGAAAATGCATTCTTGCCCACAGTCAACAGTGAAATGCACAGTTTTTACAAAATTTCAATGCACTGCCAGTATAATACCAAATGGGACATCCCTTCTGCGTGGCAAATTATAAAGTATGTATTAGTGACTCATAGCTCTGTGTAATTCTAGGTCCACTTCTTTTAATTCACCATAAGGAAACAGCTAAAGAAGTGAGACATGCTAGAGAGAGGACATTCATTACAACATGACTTATGACAGTGAACACTGAAAGTAGCAAACCAATCATCCACACGGAGGGAATGATCACAAACTATACACATCCCAACAAATACTTGAGGAAGCTTCTAAAAGTAATGTTTCTGAAGCAAATTCAGAAAGTAAGTGCTTATGATAAAACACTCACTGAAAAAAATGCAAACTATAATAAAACGTGGTTCCAGCTTGTTAAAATGTTACACATATTAATGTTTTTAAACTTTTCCATTTTTCTTCGTGACTCAGTATTAGAAATAGAAAAAAATTATATCAATAAAACAAGAAACTCTAA